CCCCGATCTGCCGACAAACAGCTGATCGGCAGATCGGGGCAGCCATTTAAATTTAAATGAAGCCGCGATTATTTTAATCGCAGCTTCATTTCCCTCCTCCGATCTGGCTAATCTACATGCCTCCGTCGAAGGAGGCATGTAGTCTAGACACACCCTCAGTGAGAGTTTACTCGAACCACAAATAAGTATACCCTACAATGAGTGTGTTTAGTTGAACTTGTCTGCTTTCTGAAATATGTTACATCGAAGAAAGAGGCACAAGAACAAGTCTTAGTCAAATTTTGCCTTGCAGAAGTAAGAAAAGATTGTGTAGGTGGTAGCCTAACAAATTAACAAAGACATCTTTCTGCAGCCATTTGTAAGTGTTTACTCGAACCACAAATAAGTATACCCTACAATGAGTGTGTTTAGTTGAACTTGTCTGCTTTCTGAAATATGTTACATCGAAGAAAGAGGCACAAGAACAAGTCTTAGTCAAATTTTGCCTTGCAGAAGTAAGAAAAGATTGTGTAGGTGGTAGCCTAACAAATTAACAAAGACATCTTTCTGCAGCCATTTGTAAGTGATATACCTATTGATGGCACCAGCAAAATGACATGGTCTTCACACCATCCCTCTGTGTTGAGGAATAAAGTCTGGCTCTCTCTTGATAACATGGTAGGATCTGAGAGCTTCACAATGAAAAACATCTTGAGCCAAATTCAGCCCAGGGATAAGTGGGCTCAGCTTTCATTTATTTCCAAGGCATTTACACCTGTGTACACCAATGCTCCATTTGGTCTTTCATTTTTGGAAAGGCAGGTGATAGAAACGTGACCTATTGTAGTTATGTGCTATGCCCCCTACCACTTAGAGAAGGGGTAGGAAAACTTTTTTGGGTCAGAGGCCACTGATCCACAGAAAAATCAGTCGGGGGCCACTCTCTCAAGTGAGAAGCAAAAAACCAAACCAAAAAAACCCCACAGCCCTCACTGATCTGGCTCCCAAGTGAGAAGGAGGAAAAAAAACCCTCACAGAAGTGGCCTCCAACTGGGAAGTAGGGAAAAAGACACCTCAGTCCCCTCAAGCTCCAGTATCATGGTGGGGGGAACGTAGGAGGGGAGGTGCTGAGTCTCAGGGCTTAAGATCAGGGCTGGATTAGCTTTTCTGGCAAGCCAGAGCTAGTGGATTTTGTGGCGCCCCTGTAGGTTCTGGGATGGAGCCAAAATGAGGGGTTCAGAGTGTGAGAGTGGGCTGGGGGTGAGGGTGTGGGGTTTGCATGAGTGATAGGGTGCAGGAGCAGGCTTGGGGTGACTGTGTGGGATCTGGGCAGAAGGGGAGGGTGCAGGAGCACTCTTGTGGTTAGGGGTATGGGGCCTAGAAGGGAAGAAGGGTGCAGCAGCAGACTGGGGTAGAGGTGCGAGGGTCTGGGAAGAAGGTTGACAGGAGGAAAGTGAGCACGGGGGAGTGAGGTCTGGGCGGGAGGGAGGATGGGTGCAGGAATAGGGGTGTGTGTGCAAATTCTGGGCTGTAGGGAGGGTGCAGGGTCTGGGTGGGGAAGTGCAGAAGGGGGCAGGAGATTGGGGTGCCATCCGGGGGGCACAGGTGGCTCCGAAGCGCTCCCTACAGGCACCATCCCTCCGTCACGCTCATTGACTGCGATTCCGATCCAATGGGAGTAACGGGAGGGAGGTGATGACTGCAGGGAGAGCTTTCTTGCAGCGTGCAAAGCTGAACAGAGCTGCTTCTTCTCCAGCGCCAGGCAGAGCTTGTAGGCCCAAACCAGCCCACAGTTTGCTTTGGTAAGCTCAGGGATCTCCTTTCCCTCCAGCTGTGCAAGCAGGCCAGCTCTGGTGCTCCAGATATAGTGTCCCTGTATGGCTGGAGCTGGAGCACTAGCGCCAGCTTGTGCTGCTGCAGGGAAGGTAGAGAGAGTCTCTAATCTTGTGGGCCAGATTAAGGCAAGCCATGGGCCAGATCCTGCCCGTAGGTCGTAAGTTCCCTACCACTGACTTAGAGGCTCAAATGCATTAAGGATTTTCCCTCTCTCAGCCATAAGAAGGAGTTCTGAAAGTTGCTTTATCCTTTTTCGATAATACATGTAGTAGTACTGTAGCTCACACCATTTTCTCATCTACTGACTTTTATATGTGTGTCCTACATACCTTTTCATTTTCTTCTAGATGCTCCATATTTAGAAATAGTTGATCTGTATCTCTATAAAATGTGGGGTTTCAGATATTACAATGATGGGTGCCTCATGAATGCATCATAATATGGTATCTGGTCCAAACCACTTTCGGTGTTGAAAAACCAAATTTTCACTGATTTGGGTTTTTTTTTTTTTTTTTTTTTTTTTTGTTCATGGCTGAGCATTTTATGAATGGAAGAAGAGAAGACAGGAGGTGGTTCTTAGGTTTGACTGGGTTTTCAGATTATATCCAAGGAAAAGGAATCCAAAGCTTGAATGAATGGAGGACTAGTAGATAGCACTGGATCATTTTTATATAGTTGCTTCTGAAAATATAAACCATGATTCATATCTGAAATCTAGGATGCCAACAATTTTTTTAGTGAAATTTTGCCCTAACATACTGAAGTAGGTTTTTTTGAGTGACATTATCATCTAATCATACAAATGCTTAATTTTTTAAATTATAAATCTAAAATTCTCATTCTTTCTGTGAGACTAAGTTCTTCTCACAGATATTTGTATGAATGTCTGGAATTCTATTGACTAACACTTAAATACAGATATGTCAAATTGTGCAGGTGTCAATATCATTTTCTATCTGTGATGAAGGCTTTTCTTGTGACCACGTAAACCCTTATAGATCATGAGCCAAGTGGAGGGACAACAGAAAAATCTCGTGCAAGCCATTGAATCCCTTCCAGGCTCTGGGCCTCTTTCTGCCTTGGATCAGGACTTGCTGCTTTTAAAAGCTACCTCTGCTGCCACCCTGAGCTGCCTTGGAGAATGCCTGAATTTATTACAGCAGAGTATGCATCAGGCGGGCCAACACAATAATAGGACACTATCTTCAGGTGAGCACAAGGTGTCATTTTCTTAGTCTCTGTTGTCATATTTAGTTATGATCCTCAGACAGGCAGGATGGATTTTTTTCCTTGGAGCAAGGAATCAGGATCAATACTAAATAGCTTCTTTGGAGCAAGGAACCAACATTTCTTTCTGTTCCAAAATATTGTAGAACCCATTAAAATCAGAAGAAAGGAGCAAAAGAGTTGCTGCTAAGTATCTTCTGCATACACCGTTTTTTGGGGAGAGCTATTACCATCTACTTGTTCATAAGCCAAATTTTTTTTTAGTTACAAAAAATCATACTGTAGAGATCAGGGGTCAGCTTATGAATGAGTCATTGTGTGTGACATTTTTTTCCACTGAGGGGAGGGGTCGGCAAACTTCATTTTCCAGCCCAACAGGGTAAACCGCTGGCACACCGGGATGTTTTATGTATGTGGAGTCAACAGGAGGGGCGGGAAGCAGCAGCCAGCACGTCCCTTGGCCCACACTGCTTCCTTAGCTTCCATTGGCTGGGAACAGTGAACAGTGCTGCTCTCATTGACCCAGAATGGCAAATGGCAGCAATTGGGAGCTGGCAGACTCCTTGCCTGCACATGCTCCAAGTACACAAACGTCCTGGTGTGGCAGTGGTTTGCCCTGCTGGACTAGGAACTGACCATGCTGTGGACTCTGCTGTATTCTAAAAGTTGGAGTCAGAAGAAACACACAAAAGTTTTAGTAGATTTATATTAATGCAATCTAACAAAAAACCTGCTGTAATAACTGAAAAAATATGTATTCACATGCCTTCAAATTACAATCCATGTTTTAATGTCTCATATCACTTTAGTGCACTTATTTAAAGTCTTAAAACCCTTCAAACTCTGAATCAGTCTTCAATTCCCCAAACAGTTCATTGAACTTAGTTTCAGACATAGCTGCTCCTGCATTGTCATTTTAGACGTCAGCCATGTTTTCCTCAGACTCCTGCCTTTTGTCAGCTTCGTCCAGGTAGACCACATTTTGCATAGCCTGTCTTTAAAGGGGTTTGTTCAGGCAGACATCAAGCGGTTGTAGAACACAAGTTAAGCCTCCAGGTATTACTGCAAAAATAGTTTTAATTTTCTGGCCTCATGTTTTACCTCATCCATCCAGTGTGCCCTGAACATGTCCTGAACAAGCAAAGAAGGTTTCTTGAGAAGTGCTCCTGGTCTCTTATTGCACACGTTTTCCAGCCATTCAATAGTCCCAATTTCACCCATCCTTCCCTTTTCATGTGAACGCATAATGACACCCCCACGAAATGTCGTGGTTTTAGGCTAGGTTTTTCTTTTGAAAATAACAACAGGGTGGAGCTTTGAGCCATTGACCAAACATGATAAAACCACTGTAAAATTGATTTTTTTATGGCCAGTGGTTTCAATTAAAACTGTTTTTTCCCATCGACACCAGTGACCTTTCTGTTGCTCAGGAGATCAAATGTCATTGGTATTTCATCCATATTTCCTATTTGTGACTTCTGAAATGCATATTCCTTTCGATGTTTTATAATAAATCTTTGGAAGGATTCAACTTTTTCTTCAAGGTCTCTTGGCAGCTTTTGCGCTATCTTTGTTCGCTGCCAAAGACAGAGACCATGACGGTTCATGAAGCAAGTACACCAGCCCGTTGATGCAACAAACACTGATGGCTTTTCTCACATGTATTTTTTCTTTTGACATTTGCAAAGCACACAAACGAGTTCTAGTGACAAGGCACCCATTTTGTCGATCTTCAACAACCCAATAATTGAGATCTTTCTCACCCTAGGAAATGAAACTCAGAAAAATGTTGGACATTTTTTCTTGCTTCTCGGCATGTCTTTTAGTGTTGCTTTATTTTTTCACAATTATCTTATTTGCTTCTCATGAATGCAGAATTCCCAAGCTGAAGCACAATTAATGTTTGCTTCAGCATATTTAACAACTTGAAATTTAAACGTTGCATCATAAGCAGACTATTTTCTGTTTATTTCACAGTTGTTGATTTTAAATTCTAGGATGAAAACCTTAGGAAACAATTTATAGATTTTTGTAGAACTTTTTAGAGGAATGTCACCTGCTTTTATCACTGTCAAGTTATAATTGTTTGTTTGTTTCGAAGAAGCCCTGCAGATTGGCATGTCTGGGGTGATATCAGGCTATTTAAATGTTGTTACAGATTTCGATTCTGCACATTATATTTTCAGATTGCCTAGAGACTTAGGAGGTCCTGTGGTCAACATGCAGGAAGAGCTCAAATTACTCAATAGTAGACTGACACCAGTACCACACTACTATCATTCATTGTATTTTTTTATTGTCTTGTACAGTCTAGCACGTTGTGAAATAGAAGGGTCAAATTTCATGTGGATACAATTTCAATAAAAATAAAATCTTAGCACTTTTTTTTCTAAAGAAGCAAGTTCTGAACTGTGTCTACAACAGGGGTCAGCAAAATTTAGCTCCCAGCCTGTTGGGGTAAGCTGTTGGCATGCTGGGAGATTTGTTTGCTTGCAGAGTCTGAGGGATATACTGGCTGCAGGCATGAAGCCTCTCAGCTCCCATTGGTGGGGAACAGCAAACAGCAGCCAATGGGAACTGAGAGGCTCCATACCTGCAACCAGCACGTCCCTCCACCCATTCTGCTTTCCATGGCTCCCATTGACTACTTTTCCTGGCCAATGGGAGCTGTGGGAAGCAGAGTGGGGCTAAGGAATATGCTGACTGCAGACATGGAGCCTCTCAGCTCCCATTGGCTAGGAACAGCGAACAGCAGCCAATGGGAGCTTAAAGGCTCCATGCTAGCAGCCAGCACGTCCCTCAGCCTGTGCTGATGCTGACCCTAATCTTACCCCCACCTTCCCTTTAGTTATCCTCTTGCTCCTTCCCTTCCCTTTCGCCATTTTGACACCTGCACCTACCAGGCGGGGCAGCATGGTGCGTGGCTGCCCTGTGTGCCAGTGCTTGGAGTCAGGGCTGAGATGCTATTTTTAGGTTCCAGTCCTGTGTCACCCTGATAAATCCATCTTACTCTGCATAAAAGTTTTATACGAAGCAAGCTCATAAGTTGTTTACCATCTTTATCAATGGAAGAGAGAGATGCACCGCTGTCCTCCCAGGTAACAATTATTTACACTGGGTTTAATGATAAAGTGGTTTTATTAAATATAAAATGTAGGATTTGAGTGTTTGCAAGTGTTAACAGATCAAAAGAAGTTATTAAGCAAAATTAAAACAAACATGGCAGCTCAGCTTACTACTCTTAAGAAGCTTGTAACATGCAATTTCTTTCACTGACAGTAGTTTTAATTCTTTTTTCTCAGTTAGGCAGTCTCCTAGCTTGATCTCAGCCCTTCCCCCCCATGTTCAATTTTAGATGTTTCTGGTGGTCACCTGATTGGTAAGCAAGGGGTTGGTGTTTGGCAAACCATTGTTTGGTTCTCTGCCTATAAATAGGCAGATTTTGCCTAAGGAGGGAATCCTTTTGTTCAGTTTCAGTCCTTTACCAACCTCATGGAAAAGTACCACATCCAAAATGAGTTCCAACAGTAGGTGAGATGGCCACATGGCAGGACCAAACATAGTCCAGGCATACAGGAAAAGCAAGAATATTCATAGATCATTGTACCGGACCATTATGTTATATAATGGCCTCCTTTAACCCATCTAGATATATAAGCAGGTTTACACTTCATTCTTCTAACTATATAGGAATGATACATGCACACCAATAGAATACACACAATCGGGGGATTATAGATTATCCAATGACAGGTTAAATGGCACATTTTGCAAAAAGCATATTCAAGTTAGAACTATTCATATTCAAAAACATATTTCTATACAGAATACGGAGGTGCAATATCATGGTGGGCTACTGAACAAAACCGATGCCAGGTTATGCAACACAATTGCCTGAAGGAACCTGTGGCTAAAAGCCATGATTACTGATTTCTCCTCTTGATTTAATTTTATGCAGGCCTCCTTTGATAGGCTTGTCATTTCTGGGGGAGACATTGGAGTAAGCTGTTCAGGATTCATCAGAGCTGAATAAATGCATACCTAATTCCTCTAAGTAATCCTCTAGCCAGTTCAAATTCAGAGATTTTAATTTTATATTGTTCAGACAGGTTTTGGTTACTGCAGGAGACTGACAGGTTGTCCTCTCCTAAAATTAGGAGGTAAAAATAATTATTCCTGCTAGCTTAACCACCATTACTATCCTGTAGGACAGGGGTGGGGAATCTTTTTCTGGGTTGGGGGCTGTGGACCCACAGAAAAATCAGTAGGGGGTGCACACAAATAAGAAGCAAAAAAAAAAAAAAAAAGACAAACTCTTACTGACGTGGCTCCTAAAGAGAAAGACACTCTCCACATTCCCCTTGTGCACCAGAACCTAGTGGGTGGGTCCTGGCTAGTAGATTTTGTGTGCTCCAGTACCGTAGCCTTGGAGGCCTGACCCAGGCAAGCCAGGGGCCACCTTCGGCCCCTGAGCCTGAGGTTCCCCTCCCCTGCTGTAGGAGGATGGCTGAAACAGTTCTTTCATCATCTCTGGAAACAAATGGGCACGGGAAATAATTTAGAAAGACGACCTTAGAGAATTTTTAGAATTTCTTCTATACCGACTTCATTTGTATTATGTTGGAGAAAATACATCAATCTTCAAAGCAATTAATGGATCAAGCCCCAGCTAGGTGAAAGGTTGAATTTTTTGGCTTTTTAATTGCTGAGACACTTTTGCTTCTCTGGGACAAGATCACGAAATCTGTGACAAAAGGCATGAGAGCTGAAGACAAAGCAGTCTCAGTCAAGGGATCTGGCATGACCGAGACCAAGTAGCTGAACTGCAAAAATAAAAGATTTTTATTCCATTTTATCCATGATCAGTATATACTGTATTGTACAGCACTAAGAGCTCATGGACCAGAAGGGCTGTACTAGTGGAAGAGTCGACCAAGTTCACAGTCCATTTTGATCAGTTTCATGTCAAGAGGGCTTTTAAAATTAGCTCCATGTTTTCAGCTGTTTACACCTGACATTTCACAGTGGTGTAACTTTGGAGGTCCCAATCCAAAAGGTATTCTAAGTCCATCTGATTTTCCCCTCCCATCTCTTCCCCAGAGTTATCATGCAAGGAAAGGACAAGTTCTGTCCCTCCTCAGCCCAACCGGGACTTGTAGTTAGGAGCTAGCAGCTCTCAGCTTCTCCCAGCAGCAAGAGGGAAGTCGTATTTAATGGGAAAGGTGTTATTTCATGGTTTGTAATGCGTTTTTCATGGCTGTGGAATTGGTAGGGTCCTAATCATTAGTCATCAGTAACACGTCTGACTGCTAGGAGCGCAGATGATGGGATATTTTATTTGGGAGGTGTGGCAAGTAAAGAGGAGATGTGGTGTTGTATCCTCCAATTTTAAACAGAATTGTTAAAGTATCTGAAATAAATGTTGAAGAGTTCACTTTGAAATGATCTGATTTTATTATGGTTTCTAATGAGCTCTGAATATTCTTAAGCACCTCGCTTTGCTTGCTTTGTGGAAGCAGGATGTGATATTATTTAGGCAGAAGCTTCCATTTACCACTTGTAACATAGGGCTAGGGAAGAATCTCACTGCTCCAAAGTAATATCTGGCAGATTAAAGAAGAATGCTTCTGGGGCTCTGAAGTGCATCACAAGAAAATTTCTAGTACAAGCCATAGATCTTTTTTTTTGTTTTTTTTTTAAATTACAAAAACTTTTTATTTACTAATTTTTTTTTTTTAGCTTTCTAATCTATTATGACTAATCACTGCCGTTTTCTTTTGAGAGGTGTGCCAATGAGAGATTTCATTGCTGCTTTTTCTGGGATGCTGCTTGTCCAGCTGCTCTGTTAAGTAGTCAGACTTCAAGCAGATGGAATACAGCCAATTGATTTTTTTCTTGTCTGAAGAAACAGATTCTTGTCTTGTCTGGGAAACAGATGTGCTTTGCCCTTTTGGTCCTTGGCTTCTGGCATCCTGATATTGCTGGTTGGATCAGAACTTTGTTCTATAGGGTTTCACAGCAATTTTGAAAATATTGATTAAGCTGACAAGGGCTGTTTTTCTCTGGTGGTCATGGTTGCTCTTCGGACAGATGGGGAGAAATACACTTGCATAGTTCCCATAGATTTTATTTTAGGAAAAGAATTTAAGACCTTGGAAAGAAGAAGGGGAGCAAATGGTGAGTTCTGTCCTGATACCAGGTGTCTTTATATTGAAGTAAAAAAGATGGAATTAAAAAATAAAGTAGTCTTTATGTATAACATATCCATGAAATATTTGTTTGCATAGACTAGTTCTGCAATTCTGATCCAAACTGCAGAAGGGCATTTTAATTTAAAAAAATCCCTCAGTACTTTGTAAATAAAGTGGTCATTAGCATTGTACATACTATGCAAATAGGAGAAGGAAAGTAGCTAGGCAAAGGGTTTGATTGGCCAATTTATTTTTTCTTTTGCCACATCCCACATTTAGGAAAGGATCCGACAGTTCTGTTATATTCTTTATTATTTTTTGTTATCTAACAATGAGCTGTTCATATGGCAGGGAGAAAGGGGGTAACACATATATACATTATTAGTCACTACCTCCTAACGAAAATAGATGTGCACACATGGCACATCAATTACACAAAATTAGTCTTGTGTGGCCTGTCAAAAAAATGTAACTATTTTGAGTTCCTTATAACTTTGTGTTTATTTTAGAACAAAATTTCAAGTCTTTTTCACAAAGACTTTGTTAAATCTTGGCTAAATTGCTCAGGTTCATAGTCTTTTTTTCTCTCTGAGAGCTGTACTATTACTAAGGGAGATGGTTAAAAGAAGAGACTTATTGCTCTAGCCAGATTTATTCCTTCAAGAGGACCTGACAACTTCTTAGTTGTGAACCTTTTTCATTCAGTTCTGTCTTTCAGATCTGAAGGCGTGCATCCTTTACAGAGCCCTGTTGATGTTGGGCAGGTCTCCTGGGCCCTTCAGTGGTGTTCTTTTAGTCTGTCAAAGCTCACTTTGGAGCAGTGGGATTGTCCCTTTCTTTGTCTCCACACCACTTAAAGTGTGAGCCGAAATAGGATCACAAACTGAACTCTGATCTGTAGTGGCATCTGATCCTTTACGAAGCTGCCAAATACCGCTCAGGACAGCTGCACAGAAAAAGGCTCTGCCTGCCTACTTTGTTTCATTTCTATAACTTAACTTTTTTTTTCATTATGTTAGGTTATTGGTCTGTTGCTCAATCCCCAACAGAACCAATGGACTGTTTTTTGTCTGGTCCCCATCTTACAAGGAGGTAAAACTCCCACCAAGTATAATTCGTAGTGAGATCATTGAGCTGCATAAGCCTGTGCCAAAGTGCAGTCCCTAGGGAAGGCCCAGTAATGTAGCAATAGCAATAAAGAGCATTATTCTTGCCCTGGACCAAGGAGGATATTATTTTATTGTGTGTATTTAGAATAAAACCCAAGGAGGCTTTTGACATTTACGTGTAAAGAGATTTGAAAACCAGTTCATGCTTAATTTGGCAGTTGAAACCTGGGTTAGTTTTTGGCTTTCTTCTGCAATAGATGACATCACAAATACATAATGTGAGCAAGGAGACATGTATGGCTTTGTGAGGTCACTGAAATGTTGCTGGGGAAATATGGAAACTTTATAGTCATACTTGGCAAGTAAGTGCAAGAGAAATTGCTTTTAAAATGTTTTGTATTGGTCTATACTGTACAATATACCTTTTGGAAACTTTTTAAAGTTTTAGGTATATATTCTAGTACTGAGTTGAACCTTAAATCAGATGCAACAGTTTTTCATTGCCAAAGTTTAAAAAAAAATAAAACCTCACATCCCCAAAACAAAAGAGAATAGCTCTTAGTTTTGAATATATTATATGTACTAAGAACAAGATGCATCATTAACATAACTTTCACTGTCATAGTGTAATAATTATAAGTGTGTGCAGTCAAGAGAAAAACAGAACTAAAGCCTTGCTCGGAATAAATCTTTGTGTAATTAGGTTAGAGCCTTTTTTGGGTCAGAACCTTTTTTGGGTCGTGGGCTGCTGACCCCAGCTCCAGACACATGAACACGCACACCCACCACGGAGAGGGGATTAACATCAAGGAGACCACGTTTGCTGAAAAATCAGGGGCCACATACAAGTGAGAAGCAAAACATCCCCCCCAAAACCCTCACTGATGTGGCCCCCTGACTGAGAAGGAGAAAGACACTCCCCACATTTCCCTCCCATGCCAGAGCATAAGGGGGCCCAGCCTAGTGGATTTTCTGTACTCTAGCCCTGCGATGCGGCAGCCGGGGCGTGCCAGCATAGGCTTGTAGTGTTGGGGGGCCCCTGAGCCTCGTCCAGTCCTAGGGCCTGAGGTTCCTCACCCTTGTGTTAGAGTGTGGAGGAGATAACTGCTAGGTTGTTATAGAAGCTTCATATCCGCATCAAAATTTATTTCTGCATTTACACAGCTTTTTAAGATTTTTTTTTTTCAAAAAGATTCCTAGGAACCTGGAGTTCTCTACCTTCCAGGAAACTCTGTTATCCCTAAAGGTTGGATTGAATCAGAGAGTTGAAATAGCCCCAGCATGCAGGGATGTGCTGAGGGGGACTTATGGTCGAGACTCATCTTTTAGTTTGTCTTTCTAGTGTGAATGCATTCTAACCCAGGTCTTGATAGATGTGTGAAAATATTTTCCCGGCCAATGTAGAAAGATCTCTAACAGTACAGGGAGGGAAAAAATGATATATAGTGGGCTAAAAAAGTGGCCTCAGACAGGAGAAGTGGGGAAAAAAGTCATGGATCCAGCCTGAACTCATCTATGGGTGAATAATCAAGCATTCCCCTTATTGTGATACTGCTGATGTGGAAAGATAAAATGAGCTGAGAAACACTTATTTTTGCTAATGTTTCTAGTACGAAGGAAAAATCGACATGTATCAGAATCAGGAATATTTATTTCAGGGTCATTAGATTTTTAAATAATATTGGCATGGGCATCTATTGACAGTTTTTAATTTTTATTAGGAAAGTTGTACTAAATTGCACATTATTTTCATATATAATGTGTGACCTTAACTAAGCCATATTTGATAATTAGAGCATGAAGTATAATGTGGACCTTTATTATAACTGCGTAATTTTTGTGTCGTTGTGATGATTAGGCATAATGTAAGTTGCAGCATCACAATTATGGGGAAGAGTAGAAAACAAAATGAGCTTCATAAATATTTTCTGAAGGTAAAAATCAAAATCCCATGAATTTCCTGTTACTATATTAATTATGCCATATTGATTCCTGGTTTGAATAGCTTTTGTAATTTTATTGGTAAATGTTAGCCATCCACTTAAAAAATGAAATTTATTGCAAATAAATTGTTGCTAAATGCAGGATATAAGGATCTTTCTGTTACCATGGCAAAGGTGTTTAGCGTGCATGCATACATGTGAATGGGCAGGAAGGGCGTGGGGAGATGACTGTAACTACAAGTAGCAATTCATATACAGTATTAGGGCATTGAGATTAAAATCCTCTCTAGAACATGAGTCTTTGTGGCTTAACTCTGTTTTTCTGTTTCAGAAAACATCCTGGGATGGCATGGGCCAAAGTCACATTCCGCAGAACTGAAAAACGGTGCCCTCAGCTCTTTATCATCTGCTAGTGCCAATATAACATGGGCGATAGTACCAAGTGCATCTGAAGATGGGCAAACACTACAGCCAAATACTGAGGTAAACACTAGATGTGTATATATATTATTTTTTAATATAGGTTGGAAAGCCTCTACTGTGATTGTAGCATGCCAGTTCTTGCCAAATTGTGTTTAATAGATATTTTATTCAAATCAGACTGCTCCTTTTTTACTTTTTAAATCTTTTTTTAAAATGATTTTAATTAGTAAGTAAAGTTAAACAGCTAAGATGTATGGATGGAGTATGTTGAAAATGCAATATAAAATCCTAGACAGATATATTTATTATGGCACTTGCTGTGTGTGTTTACTGCATGTGTAGGATTACTTCAGATAATGTTAGGAATTGGTGAGCCTGGAGCTGTTTTAATTTCCAGTGGAAGAATTATAATGAGTTCATTATAGTGATCCTCTTCATGACATTATTTGAAGTAGTGGCTGTGTATGTGGTATAAACACTTCATGGAACTCCTTATTCACACTAACATTACACCTGACAACAGTTTGCTAGATGTCTGCATCAATGATTTGTAGATTTAAAACTGTTCAGTATTTGGTTTCTCTGAATTGGCAGGTATTAGTGTGATCTATTAGGTAGTCATTGCTATAGAAGAGTGTATCATGATAGGATTTTGCATATTATCTAATAGCAGCATTTAGTACCCAGGCATGTGATATACTCACCTGTAAACTTATTTCTAGCTTTAGTATAGTTTTAGTATTGCTATGTTTGTGTGGCTGTCACCTTGGAATGGAAATCCACCTTAATTCCAATTGAAAACTGTCCTTCAGATAAAGGGACCAATCTTGGTAAGTGAAGTCGAGAGTACTCTGCACATGAAAAGATTGATTACAAAAACATTTTCAGGAGTGCTTGAACAGAAGATAACAATTTACTGATGGAGCATTTGCTTGTCAAGTTTGTCCTATGATTTATATAAAAATGTGTTCTTGCTCTTTAGAGTGAGAGCCTTATGAAGTACTTGACAGAGGGATTTCTTACATCCATAATGATGTACCGCATAAAGACACTGGTTACACCTCAAGCATACATTGTAATTCATTTTCCGATGCAGAACTTGAAAATGAGCGAACAGTGCTTCGGTTTTTGACATAAAGATTGAAATGCTCCTTCGCTCTCATTTTGCCTAATCTGTAAGAAGTTATGATCGTTTCAGGGGAATTATACAATTACATTCTTTAAAGTGGGATTATCCACAGCCTTCACAATTTTTTTAATGTTGAATGGATCCTGTTCAAAATGATGCGACTACTAATTTCTTAGATATTCTTGGAATTTAGTATAGTAATGCGGTTTTGTTTTTTTAACTTTGTACGCGTATTCCTGTAAAATATGTTAACAAAAGTAAAGGCTAAAATACTGGTAAAATCTCAACCTCTCTGTTGGATAATCAATTCACCACCACCATTACCCCCCAAGAGACTGTGCTTAATCTTATTCACAGCTTGTACATTGCATAATCCTTCATTTTGGCCTCTCTGCTCTATTGTTTAAGAATCAGCAGTGTTTGGAAATTGCAAGACTATTGCTTGCTTGAAATGCTGGGACAGTGTGATGTACTACAGTAATTTTACATATTGTGATATATGTGCATAAATCTGTCACAAGAACACACTTCCTATATGCTTGTGATACATTTTCAATTCCAAAAGCAAAATGAACAAGCTATGGTAAGTCAAGGGATCGTGAAGTACGTATTTCTACTTATCCAGACAGCTGCAAGGTTTAACTGTTGGTTTTGCAGCCTTGACAGTTTCTTTAAATATATGTCTCCTATCTCAGTCCAGACACTGAGTTACATTAGCAGATTGAGACAGAAGGCTTTTCAATTTTGCAGTTGTCATTCCAGTTATAAAAGCAAGAGCTAGATTGACATTCCACTTGCTTTCTGGCTCCAGTAGCTAGAAAGTAAACTAAATTCCATTTTGATTTGATTTGTATGAATGGACCATCTGTTCTGGGCTGTGAGTTTGGTTTGATATCTCTAGTTGCTGTGTGATCTTTTGGTTCTCCAAATGCAAATGGTTGTCCTGATTCACTGAAGAGCTCTGTGATAGGTTTTTTATTTTTTTGGTAACTTTTTTCCCAGACTGCATAGTTGGAGGACGATTGTGAGCAAAATCTACCCCAAGTGACACACTTGCATCAACGTGGCGGCTGTTGCCCTGTGGGATTCTCTTGAGGGAGAGCATATGGGGAAACTCTTGTGTGGGATAGCCCTGTTTTCTGCAACAGGCTCCATATCAGTGCTATTGGGGGAGGGACCCAAGCAGTTTGCTATTCCAATCAGCCCTCCCCAGAGCATTGTCTATTTCAAGGATAGCATGGCTGAGTGCTGAAGGACTCTTGATGGCATCGAGGCATTGGTATCTTATGTGCCTCTCTTGCTCCCCACCATCGGCATACTTTACAAACTAATTTTCTGCTGTTCTCTGACTCTGACTCATCCATTAGTGACACAATATTTTCAGCATTCTTCTACCATACCGAATTTAGCATAATTTAAAATGGCGTTGGCTAAAACTGAATTGCTAGTTTACTGTAAAGTTTCTCTCTGCCTTTCCTCAATAGGAGGGTAAGGGAAGGATTGGAAGAGAACTATGTACTTCAGATTATATCCAGCAGTAAGGTTAATGGACTCTAGATGGGGTAGGCAACCTATGGCTCAGTAGGACACCAAATATGATCCTCTTGACATATTTAGCTGGAGCTGGAGCTGGAGCTGGAGCTAGGCCACAGTGGGGCTTTTACTGGGGACAGGGTCATAACGCAGCCCCAGGAGCAGTTGCCCCAAGGCCCCGGTTCTGCCACACAGCTCTGCCCTGGGAGCAGCCAGGTAGCCACTACATGGCCCTGGCCCCAGCTTCAACTCTTCCCCAGGGCTGGAGCTGCAGGCAGCGTGGGCCGCGTGATGGCTGTCTGGCTGTCCCAGAGTTGGGGCCAATGCTGCATTGTAGCTGCTCCCACAGTTGCCTGGCTAACAAGGTCACAGTAGGGGCTCAGCCCCTATCTGGCCACATCCTGTCCCCTGCACTGATCCTGCGTTAGACCCTGTGGTCAGGCCCCCGTCTGGCTGCAGGAGGGTCTGGCAGCGGTGGTGGCACCCCCTCCTTCTGCAGCATAGGTGGGAGGGGAGGGGAGACCATGATCCAGCTGTGGTGATCCTGGCTTGGCCCTTCGTCCAGCCACTGCTCTCCAGGTGCAGTAATCCAGACCTGTCCAGGTAATGTAATCTGGCCTCGGGCTCCCCCACGTACTCTATTTCCCACACACAGCACCCTACCCTGCCTCCCACACACTCCAACCCCGTTGACCTGAGCCCCTTGTACACCACCAACCCAGAGTCCTGAACCCCCACAACCTCAGCCCCCTACAATAACATTGACAGAAGACATCCTGAATGTGTGCACAGAACTAGATTTGATCAGTTATTATGTAAACTTCAAAGAAAAGTGCAAGAAGATGCAGCAGCAGAAGTCCCATTAAATAAAGTCTGTGAGTGCAGTGTTTCATTCATGCTATATTTAACCATCATGTCACTTATCAATAATAACGTATATTTTCAGTCATGCAAATGAGCATTTTTATACGGCTCTTTGTTGACCACTTGTTCTGAATTTTGAAGTAATTCGGCTTTTTGGTTTGAAAAGGTTGCTGATGCCTGCTTTAGGGCTACGTCTACACTATGAGTTTTCTCGGCAAAAATATGCTAATGTGGGACTCATTAGCATGAGTCGCGATCTCATTTGCATATTTTCTGCTGATCCGTTTTTACGCTGGGGTTTTTGTGCAAATATAAGCAGTGTGAATGTTTTCTTTTTGCACTGAAAACCCTTTTTCCACAAAATCCTTATGCCCCAAAAAAGGAGATATACCGATCTTGCAGAAAAAGGGTTTTTTGCGCAAAAAGAAGCAGTGTGAACGTTTTCTTTTTGTGCAAAAACCCCTTTTTCTGCAAGATCCTTATGCCCCATAAAAGGAAGTATACCGATCTTGCGGAAAAAGGGGATTTTGCGCAAAAAGAAAATGTCCACATTACTTGTTTTTGTGCAAAACCTAGTGCAAAAATATGCAAATGAGATCATGACTCATGCAGATGAGTCCCTCGTTAGCATATTTTTTGCTGAGAAAACTCATAGTATAGGTGTAGCCTAGATGAACATTTGATGAATATTCACTTTTGTTAGAAATTGTATAATATATTTTTCAGATAAGTAAATGGCAATTCCTTTCAGGTAAGTATATTATTTACAAGGGTCGGGGCAAGTGTTGCCATAAGTATTCCTTGCTCCTTGATAAACTATAAATTGTTGCATTGGGCTTTTGACTTATTCAGTATCGAGAACGGTGATAAGAATAGTTGTCAAACTAGAAATTTCTTACTAGAGGAGTGAAACTTCTGGCCAATTTTATCCTTCAAGCCTATTTACCATTCTGTCTTTTCATAGCCCTTCCATCTTCAGCCTGCACACAACAATTTCACCTGGATTGAGAAAATGATGATATATATAATTTTTCAAGGAAAAATAATTACTCTGTACTTTTTGGTTTCTTGCTTCCCTCTTCCTTCCCCCACATTTTTATTATAATGTCTTCCATGGCAGCTGACGACAAAGTGAATTTTAAGCCACTGCAGCTTGAATATGGATATCAATAAATAGCTGATAGTACATGCTGAGCATTAATAATCTGACCTAAGGAGTAAAGAAATTATGGATTGCAGTTTATCACTTACAGATTCTTCAATGGGTTGTTATTGCCCCAAATCCCACCTGACTCTGCCTAAGGGATTTTATACCTGTGGGATGAAACCAAATAATGGCTAAGGTATCTCATTCCCCTCACTAGTTTCCAATTAATAGACTCCATATGGATGACATTCTTCCTCTCTCCCTGGTCCCCATTTTGTTTTGATATATTTTAAAAAAGGCCTGTGTGCTGCATTTATTATTCATTCATAAAACACATTGGTAAAGAGAATGGGAGGAATGTTGCTGTTTTGTCCACCAGGTGTAGCT